TGAGCGCGGTGCGGGTGACACCACACCAAGGGTTGCGATCCCCTTACCGGTCACAAAAAAATCAGGTTTTGAAGTCAAATCTCTTTTCCATCTTTATTTCATATTCATAATCTTCACTGTCATAATGGTGATGATAACTAAGATAATAGCCCTTTCTCCTTAACCCTGCGAGAGGAGGATCTCTCTCCTTTGGCCTCCGATAATGTCTGTGTAAGTATGTGGCTCTTCTGAATTGTTAGCTAGATGGCTTCATCATTTACTTGACATTGGCACTAATCTTTTGCTCCAGTTGGGACTCGGTCCTGCTCCTCCTTAGCAAGTCGAGGCAGAGCTTGGGCTGAGCCAGGTCAGGCCCAAATGTGTCCTCTGCACCCTTCCTCCCCCGACATATACATGAAACTTTTCTCCCTTGAGTTCTTTTTACATATTATCTTTTTAGTTTAGTAAATCTTATACTCATTGAGTATTTAATAGTGCTGAGCACAATTTAATCCTTTAAACACCCAATGTGACAGATATTTCTAGTCTCCCCACTTTACACTGAGGCCCAGAGAGGTTAAGTTTGTTGCACAGAGTCACCCAGTGTATTAGTCCATTTCTGTTGCTTATAGCAAAATACATGGAACTGTGTAGTTTATAAGAGAGGGAAATTTATTGCTTACAGTTTTGGAGGCTGGGAAGTCCTGAGTCCAGGGAACGCATTGTTGGTAGTGACAGTGACACAGGGATCTCATGTGGCAGAATATGGCAGAGCAGAGGGAGAGAACTAACTCCTTACTCCTCCTTTTGAAGCCATGAACCATGCCCACAACCACCATTAAACCATCAGTTTATTAATCCACTTACTCATGCATGGTCCTCACAATCTAATCACCTCTTCAAGGCCCCACCTTTCAATTAGCATATAGGATTTCCCACTCTCCTAACACTGTCACTATGGGGGACTTTCTTATACGTGGACTTTGGGGGACACAATTCAATCCAAGGCACACAGCTAGGATGTGCGGGTGTCAGGATTCAAGCCTGGCCCTGGATGGTGTGGTCCTCACCTCTGCCCTACACTGCCTGTCTGTATTGATCCATTTACAGTAGATTTTGCAGAGAGGTTTGGGAGACTGACAAAACAGTGCCTGGTGCTCTACCCTAGACAGGATGATAGGCCCCTAGAGACAGACCCTGTGGTGACAATGACTCCTGGGGAGCCCCTGCAGAAGGGTTCATTCCTCCTTTGTCCTATTCTAATTGTGGGAATCCTGACCTGGAGCAGGGCTTCTTGGAGGCTAGAGCTGGAGGCCCAGCCAGCAGGATGTGTGAGCCCCAGGAGACCTTGTGGCTGCTAAGGTGAGAGGGAACTTTCCCCTTGGACCCCAAGAAACCAGCTCTTAGAGGACCATGCCTGGGTCTCACAGGCAGCCCTTTCTCTGGCTGCTGGCTGGCCAGGGCACCAGGAATGGCCAAGAGACATCTTACCAGGCTAGTGGCAGCAAAGATGAGGGTCATTCCCTAGCAGCTACGGGCTGTGTGCCCACTGGAGGCAAATACCTCTCCCTCAGGAAGGTGCCTGGCCTGAGGTGCTATGCACCTGTCTCCTGCAGCAGCCCCGGTCTGCTTAGGAAATGACCAGATGATTCCAGTCCCTCCTGTGCACTGAGGGGTGTTGCACTCTCAGGGGAGGGGTCCAGCATCCTGCTGGGGCAGATGCTGTTCAGAGACCACTTCTGTTTCTTCTACCAGCTTTGTCAGAATGAGGCTGGATCTAGCTGGAAGGTATCTGGTGCAGGACCCAGGCTGTGGCCTGTCCTCTGTGACACCCCATTAGGGCCAACCCTGTTCACACAGATCTGTCTCAGCTTGTAGGTCCAGTGATTTGGTTCTGCAACGATGACAATAGCCTCCTCATATTTCATTTAGGCCAGGCTCTGTAGAAACATCGTCATGTTTTATCTCATTGAATTTTCAAAACAACCCAAGTACAGAGAAGGAAGCCAAGACTCAGAGAGGCAGACACATACTCAAAATTAAATCTATGAAGTCCTAAAGGCTGGATTTAAGCCAAGTTACATTAACTCTAGGGTCCATGTAAATAGACTATAGGCTCCAAGCCACACAAGACTTGGCTCTGGGGATGCTGCCTTCTTCCCTGGGGGAAGCTGGAATGGACACTCCTGCATCCTGGGCTTGGCACTGTCCCACAGAGGCTGAGCCTAGGCTGATTGTCCTCCCACCGTATTCTGGGCCAGGAGCTACCTGTTCAGAGGTCCCCCAAAATAGGCCTATTTTCTAAGGTCGGGTTTCTGGATCCCTAAGTCTCACCCCCAGCCCTTCAAAAAGGAGAGCAGGGAATCCCCAAGGCTCAGGGATCATCTTGAGCTCGGGACCCTGTGGGGTCCTTCCATTGGCCACCTCCTCTGTCATCCCCCCCTGCCACCTTCCCTCCCTTAAAGCCCTCTGGTGCTTTCACTTGGAGCTCCCTGGGGGCCCAGACCTGCAGCGTCCAGCACAAGGACTTCTCAGAACCGAGAGCGGGAATGCCCTTCACATTGTGCCGCTTGTGTTCTCAACTCTACGCATATTCCCGTGGCCCTCCTCAGGGGTCTCATGTTTCAGGAAGACACTGGAGAGTCACATTCGTGGGCACTTACACCTGCATGACCAATGTCACATATTACTGCAACAGTCGCCCTTTTTTTCTTCCCGCGCTATAGTTCACAAGGCTGTTGTTCGTGGTCTAGTGCCCAGTGTACAAGTGGAATAATGGAGGGACAGTGAATGGTTTCATGTATATGTTCTTTATTCTACTCAAATTACACACGTCCACCCATCCCACGTAAGAGGCTCGGGGTCGTCTTTGAGACTCAGTTCAAAGATCCTGTCCTCGGGGCATCCTTCCTTGGTCCTAGATGCTGCTCTTACCCTCCTCTAATTTTGGAAGAACTCTGACCTTATCGGATAAAGCACTACTAACAATGCACTTGGTCGGGACCTGTTGACAATTCACCATCTAGCTAAGTCTTCCTTAGGACGGACTCCTGATATCTGGACGCATCCCTCGCAGCTGCTACAGGGGAGCCGTCCAGTATTTGCTGAACCAGTGATTAAACTTTATTGTGGCAAAAGCTTGGGATTTAGAAACCTGGTCCTCTTCCTCCATGTGCCATTGATTAGACCTTGTCTTTTTAGAAAGTATGTTCCATTTGAAAGCTGTAATAGCTTCCACAACAGCCCGACACTATCTGGACCTTAAAGTGCATCACACGCCATGTGTGTAACGATGTGTTGTGTGTGTCATGGGAGGCTTTGAGCCTCACCCTGCAGAGGAGAAAGCTGAGGCTCAGCAGCTTAGAAATGCACCCAAGTCCCTCGGCTGGCTGCACACCACACACAGGGGGCTGGGTGACTGATGGGACTCATGGTGTTCCACCTGCCGAGATTGCTTCAAGTCCAGTTGGACTTTTTTTCTCCTGGACACCCCCTCCTTCCACCCAAAGGGTTAATTATAAGTTGCCCCCAGATATTGTCATATCTGAAAATGTTTGTTTTATCTGTTCATGCCACAGATTCCAGAACGGAAGCAGCTCGCCATCCCAAAGATCGAGTCTCCTGAGGGTTACTATGAAGAGGCTGAGCCGTATGACAGGTCCCTCAATGGTACATCCTACTGGTCGGGGCTCGGAGGGGGTCTAGCTGCTTCCTGCACAGGGGTTGGTGTTCACTCATCTGGCGGTGACCAGCTCGCTCATCTTGGCTGGAAGGCAGAGGGCATTCTAGGCTGCTGTGACCAGAGACTGTGGCCCAGATTGGGAACTGGCCACAGAACGTTTGGCCTTTAGTCTGAATAGGAAACTGAGACCCACAGCAGACCCATCTCACCTGCAAGGAGGGGCCGGGGATGGCAAACAATGAGCAGGTTTCCTGCACCTGCTATTTTCTGCATTCTCACCTGGAAATTGCTGAATTCAGCACAAAAGGTTATAGAGGAGAGGTGTGTTGGCCAAGGGCACAGGGCCCTGGTAAGCAGTGGAAATGGTGGTCAGGCTGAGCCTGAGCTCAGTTTCCCCATCCTTTCACTGGACTGATAATTATTGTGCCCCCCACTATGTGTCAGGGTCTGGAGCCCAGCGTCCCAGCACTTTGATTCTGTGAGAGGAGACAGACAGTGAATGAACATAGGATGTGTCTGGTGGTGATAGTGTTAGGTTGGAAAACAGAGGAGGGGCTGGTTGGTGTCAGGGAAGGAGTGTTATTTTAGAAAGGGCAGGCCTCGCTGATAGTGTGACCTTGAGCAGATTCCTGGATGAAGTGGGGAGGGGGTTGGGCAGATGCCTGCAGACAGAGAGCACAGCAAGTGCAAAGGCCCCGAGGCAGGGGGATTCTTGGCCTGTTTGAGGAGCAACAAGGAGGCCAGCATGGCAGGAGCAGGGGAGGCGGGGACAGTGACAGGAGATGGGGATACAGAAGGGGCTGCAGGCCACAGCAAGGACTTTGGCTCTTCTTTGAATGAGACTGTGAGCTTTTGGAGGGTTACTTAGTGACTGTCCTAATTTAGGTATTAAAAGAGCACTGTGTGAACGGGCACCGTGTGAATGAGCTGTGCAGGCAGGGCTCACACTGGAACCCTCTGGGGTTCTATTACACAGAAAGGCCCCAAATGTTCTGGAAGAGATGGTTGTAACCCTAGTCTGCAGGGCGGCTTGACTCCGGTCCTCCCCTTCTTACTGCCTTCTCTTTCCTTCCTTTGTAAGTGTAAAGACTTTGAAAGCATAAAGCAATTTGCAAATGTAAAAGGTGAGGGATGCTGGGGGTGGAAGTGAACTTGACTGAAGGGGGCGTTGGTGGTTCCGTGAAGCCCAGGACCAGGGATGAGATGGGACCGGTGACTTGGAACCACATGGGATTCTCCTCCTCTTCCTTCACACTTCACCTGCTGCCTCCGGCCCCAGGAACTGTGTGGGAGGTGAAGGCCTGTTGGTACTGAGGTTATTCTAAGAGGCTGGCACTGTGGTCAGACGTCACTTAGCTTCAACCCACTGAGCATGGAGGTGTTGCCGAGTCACCGGGCCAGGCTGTGATTTCAGACCAGAGCTGAGGGTGCGGTGCTGCTGTCTGGAGGCATCTCGAAGGTGGAAACAGTGACTCACCCATGCGGTGAGCACCTGGGTGCATCCTAAGCCTGTCTCTCTAGGGTGTGGCTTGAGCCAGCCAGGACATGTCTCCCAGACGCTCCTGGAGCCTGGCTTGTGGGGCAGACACTTCATCTCGACACAAACAAGTGGTCAGAAGACCAGGCTTCTTGGTGTTTGTCTCTCACCTGTGAGTTCACATGGTGGCCAGGCCTAGGGGTCATCAGAAGGACAGCCTGCACTCTCCATGTAGAGTGGGTCAGGAAAGCTTCTAGATGGAGAAAACCCAGCTGGGGAATAAATAGCGGGTGGGTAGGGAGACCGCGTTGACCCTCCCGCCCAGATGAAGGCTGGGGATGCCTCGGGAGAAGCAGCTGTGTTCAGCAGAGGGAGGGCCTCACCTGCAGTGTCGGCTGCCTGTCTGCACTTCCCGCCTGTCCCCACACCTGTCTGAGCAGCGCAACTGCAGGTTGCAGTGGAAGGAGCCAGCTGGGACCCCAGCATCTTGCTGTAGTTGGTTGGCCAGCGGCAATTTTGCTGACTTCTGGCACAAGACCAGTTGCTTGGATTCTTGTCCTGCTTTGTCAGCAGTGTCCCCACGCTGCTCCACTGGGTCAGGTTCCTTTCTGCGAGCAAACGTTTAGCAAGTGCCCTGATGGCCTATACTGTAGATAGCAGGTCTGTCCTGCTTGCCTCAGACACCAGGTACTTTGCGGATGGTCTTTCTTGCTGGGGTAATGCCAGCTGCTGTAACAACTAACCCCCAATTTCAGTTGACAGTAACACAATAAAAATCTGTTTCCTCTCATGGAGCAGGTTAGTGTGGGTGTTACTGGTTTTCATGAGGTTTAGTTACCTGGGCTCTTTCCATGTTTGTCTCGGCCACCCTGTAAGGCCATAGAAGCCTCTGCAAGGAGAAAGCAGAGAACTTCTATCTGCTTCTGGAAAGCACCAGCCAGGTGACAGGTCATGTCTGCATGTGAAAGGGGCTGGGAAATGATGTCCTTGGCTGGGCTGTGGCCCCTCCTACAAGCCCACGCTACTGACGGGAAAGCAGATGCCTCTGGTGGGCAGGCAGCTATGTAGCCACAGCCAGGTCTATCTTTTAGGGTCTCTGCACTTGGGCGTTCCCTCTGTTCGTCTTGTCTCTCTCCTATTGACTCTGTCTGTGCTTCTGAATATTATGCAGGTCATTCTGGCAGATTTCTCCCCACTGGAGTCCCCAGATGGGTGCAGGCGCCTGAAGGAGTCATTTATGCCACGATCACCTTGGGTACTGCTTGTCCCCAAAGCTGGAATGACAGTGACCCCTTGCCTGCTGCCTGGCTCTCAGAGATGGGTGCATGCTCTGACATGGCCACTGTCCTCTCCCCATCCTCGTGCATGGGCCCTGCATGTGCACACCCATGTGCCATCCTTTCAGAGGAGTGACTTACTCTGTCTTCCACAGACCCCTGCCTGTGGCATTGGAACACATGACTGAAAGACCCACGGTGTGCATGGTTCTGTCCTTGGTTCCCAGGGACTTCCTGCAGGACACAGTTGGGTACAGTCCACCTGGGGACGGCAAATATGGGGATGGGATTGTCTGAGCATTCTGCCTTTCATTCTGGCTTGCCCTACACTCCCTGGAAGCCAAGTATCTGTTCTAAGAATATCTTACATTGATGGTGTGCTATGATCCCTCTTAGGGATACATAAAATTGATTCATTTGTTCTAAATTTCCTCCAAGCTACTCCAGGAGCTATGATTTGCTGCTGTTTCTCAGTTAGCTTCCTGATACCCGCATGGAGGAGGACGGGCAGGTGTTAGAATTCTCCATGAAGCACGTGGGTCAACCCCAGAAGCCAAAACGCTGGGATGTACCCAGCCTCATCGCACTAAACTCTGTAGCCTCCCTCTGTTAATTTTTGTTACTGAAGAAGGAAGAATCCCAATTACATTGCATCATGCTTCTTATTTCACTTATTGGACAGATAATACAATACTAACAATGAAGAAAACTTTTAAAAAGTCACCCTGATTCTACCACGCTACCAAATCAACTATTTTGAGTTCTCTGTGTTGCCTTACAGTACTGATCTGTTTGCCTATATAATTCTAATTGTGCTTTCTCCTGAATTATCATATCTTAGGGAGTTTATTTAGCTGCAGACTAGATTTCAGAGTTTTAACTGATTATTGTTGCATGGTATGCTCCTAAGTAGACAAAATCAACTTCACTTTCCCAACTCCCCTCTGCTGACTGTTAAATAGCACTTGAATGAATATCTTAATGCATGTAACATCCTCTCTCCTCTTTTTAAAAAACTAGTTTCCTAGGATAAACTCCCAGGGCTGGAATTTATTGGATCAAAGAGTATGGGTGTTTTTATGGCTCTTGAAACAACAGATTGCTTTCCGAGAGGCTTGTGTTAATTTACATTGCCACCAGCAATATGAGAATTCACTGTCTCCCAGTGCTGTTTTCAATCTTTCCTTATTTAATACATTTAATAAAATTATAAACTGTGCAACTTCTTTATTAAGCCATGAAGAGAAGTAGCAGCACACTGCTCTGAAGGAAAATTGATACTAAAATATGTAAGGTGTTATTTTTAGAAATATTAAAATAAAATAAAACAGATTTTCATTGGCACTGTAGCTAGAATAACTTTTGCAATGGCCTCATTCAGTTTTTCTATATCCCAATTCAAGTTACGGTTCTGTTTTCCTACTTGCAGGACCCTAGCTGTGCAGATAGGAGAAGGGGCTTCTGGAGTCTTCTGAGAGGCCTTAGGGACCCATGGACTGTCCCTCTTCTGAAGGGTGTCATGGGGGGGAAAGAGTATAATTCAATCTGAGTCAGGAGGGGGGCAGAACAAAGACTGCTGTGTAGACATCACAGGAGAGTAGAGGGTAGAGGGTGGGCCCCTTTTCTAACCATTCGAGCTGCTCAGGAATGGAAAGGAGTGTCCAGTGATCACGAGGTGGTGAGTCCCTGTCCCCAGGGAATCCAGGAAGAGCAGCAAGGTTACAATGGACAGGACTCCTGTGCTCATCTGGGGGTTGAACCGGGGATCCTGAGGTTCCTTTTTCTCCATGCCCTGCTCTTCAAGGATGGAGATTTCATTTTTTCAGAGGTGATTGCTTTTCTTCACATAATTTTTGTTGGCCTTGAATAGAGCAGTGAGGCCTGGAGAATAGAACAACTCTTTCAGGGTGGTGGGGGCAGAAGGTAGAAATGGACGCAGGTGGAGTATGCGTAAAGTCAGTGCTCTGGTGAGTGTTGGGATTCTTTCAAAATGCCAAAAACATGGTGGGGTTGGCCGATTGCCAGAGGTAGAGGACGGGTTTAAGTTAGGAACAAGCGAAAGGAGCTGAGTGTGTGCAAGGTGTTCAGCAGAGAGGAAAAGGGAAGAGAGCCTGTGGAGGATAAGAGTGTATTTTTGACCTGGCCTTTTATTTCTGAGGTGCCACAGTCCCCTTCCCCTGACGCGGGACAGAACCAGGCAGAGCAGGTGGGCAGGTGGGCAGGTGAGAGGCCTGCTGGGTGCACAGCTCAGGGCCCAGGTGGTCTTCTCTTCCCCGACCCCTTAGAGTGAGAGTTCCAGGCCTGGAAGAACCTGGAAACATCCCCCCCTCCCCAATTCTTCAGTTGAGGAAACAGAGGCCCAGAGTACTCTCAAGAGCAAACCTTCGGTCTCCTCGGGGGGGTCTGTGGAATCTGAGATGACAGGATTTGAGGAAAAGGGAAAGACTTGTGGTTTTAAGTTAATTGTCTTGCGGCCAGAGGCAGCCTCCCAGGAGCTTTGCTGAGGGGGGTTGGGGGCAGGAAAGCCAGCCCTGGCCTCGGTTGGAGGTTGTGGGGCTGGTTCAGGGGCACGGGCAGGCCGGTGGGTTGAGGCCTGGGCCACTGGCTGCCCTCCTGGCCAGCGGGGCCCTGACCGGGCCGGTCTTCCTTGCAGAGGACGGTGAGGCTGTGAGCAGCTCCTATACTGTCTCCCAGTGCTGTTTTCAATCTTTCCTTATTTAATACATTTAATAAAATTATAAACTGTGCAACTTCTTTATTAAGCCATGAAGAGAAGTAGCAGCACACTGCTCTGAAGGAAAATTGATACTAAAATATGTAAGGTGTTATTTTTAGAAATATTAAAATAAAATAAAACAGATTTTCATTGGCACTGTAGCTAGAATAACTTTTGCAATGGCCTCATTCAGTTTTTCTATATCCCAATTCAAGTTACGGTTCTGTTTTCCTACTTGCAGGACCCTAGCTGTGCAGATAGGAGAAGGGGCTTCTGGAGTCTTCTGAGAGGCCTTAGGGACCCATGGACTGTCCCTCTTCTGAAGGGTGTCATGGGGGGGAAAGAGTATAATTCAATCTGAGTCAGGAGGGGGGCAGAACAAAGACTGCTGTGTAGACATCACAGGAGAGTAGAGGGTAGAGGGTGGGCCCCTTTTCTAACCATTCGAGCTGCTCAGGAATGGAAAGGAGTGTCCAGTGATCACGAGGTGGTGAGTCCCTGTCCCCAGGGAATCCAGGAAGAGCAGCAAGGTTACAATGGACAGGACTCCTGTGCTCATCTGGGGGTTGAACCGGGGATCCTGAGGTTCCTTTTTCTCCATGCCCTGCTCTTCAAGGATGGAGATTTCATTTTTTCAGAGGTGATTGCTTTTCTTCACATAATTTTTGTTGGCCTTGAATAGAGCAGTGAGGCCTGGAGAATAGAACAACTCTTTCAGGGTGGTGGGGGCAGAAGGTAGAAATGGACGCAGGTGGAGTATGCGTAAAGTCAGTGCTCTGGTGAGTGTTGGGATTCTTTCAAAATGCCAAAAACATGGTGGGGTTGGCCGATTGCCAGAGGTAGAGGACGGGTTTAAGTTAGGAACAAGCGAAAGGAGCTGAGTGTGTGCAAGGTGTTCAGCAGAGAGGAAAAGGGAAGAGAGCCTGTGGAGGATAAGAGTGTATTTTTGACCTGGCCTTTTATTTCTGAGGTGCCACAGTCCCCTTCCCCTGACGCGGGACAGAACCAGGCAGAGCAGGTGGGCAGGTGGGCAGGTGAGAGGCCTGCTGGGTGCACAGCTCAGGGCCCAGGTGGTCTTCTCTTCCCCGACCCCTTAGAGTGAGAGTTCCAGGCCTGGAAGAACCTGGAAACATCCCCCCCTCCCCAATTCTTCAGTTGAGGAAACAGAGGCCCAGAGTACTCTCAAGAGCAAACCTTCGGTCTCCTCGGGGGGGTCTGTGGAATCTGAGATGACAGGATTTGAGGAAAAGGGAAAGACTTGTGGTTTTAAGTTAATTGTCTTGCGGCAAGAGGCAGCCTCCCAGGAGCTTTGCTGAGGGGGGTTGGGGGCAGGAAAGCCAGCCCTGGCCTTGGTTGGAGGCTGTGGGGCTGGTTCAGGGGCACGGGCAGGCCAGTGTGTTGAGGCCTGGGCCACTGGCTGCCCTCCTGGCCAGCGGGGCCCTGACTGGGCCGGTCTTCCTTGCAGAGGACGGTGAGGCTGTGAGCAGCTCCTACGAGTCCTACGACGAGGAGGAGAGCAGCAAGGGCAAGTCAGCCCCGCACCAGTGGCCCTCGCNGAGTCCTACGACGAGGAGGAGAGCAGCAAGGGCAAGTCAGCCCCGCACCAGTGGCCCTCGCCCGAGGCCAGCATCGAGCTGATGCGTGACGCCCGCATCTGCGCCTTCCTGTGGCGCAAGAAGTGGCTGGGGCAGTGGGCCAAGCAGCTCTGTGTCATCAGGGACACCAGGCTTCTGGTCAGTCGTCCCCTTCTCTCCTCTGGGGGAGGGGGTGGGCGGGGGCAGGGCAGGGAGGACCAGATTGTCCCTGATACTAAGAGTTTAGAGCCTTTTCATACCAGGAGATTTTAACCTCTCCCTAACCTGAAATGGTAGGCAGAACTGTGCGTGTGTGGGTGAACGTGCTTTTTCTGAACTAGAAAAGTCTAGTAGTATCCATTAGGCTCTCAAAGGGGGCTGGGATTACCACTGTCTCCCCCAACCTGAAATGGTAGGCAGAACTGTGCGTGTGTGGGTGAACGTGCTTTTTCTGAACTAGAAAGGTCTAGTAGTATCCATTAGGCTCTCAAAGGGGGCTGGGATTACCACTGTCTCCCCTTCCCCACTCCATCCTGTACACCTTTTTTTGAGAGCCACATCTTTCTGTTCCCTAGTCCTTCCAGTCAGGGGTGCCCTAGCCCAGCCCCCAACCCCAATTCCAGCTAGTGCTTTTGTCTACGCAGCATGAGAACCCTAGGAATGTTCTCAGAAGCTATCGTATTTTGAGTTACTGATTGTAAGACAGGACCCATAAAGGAATCAGAGGATATTACTCTGACAATCATCCTGTTTCCTGTTATTTTAAATTAAAATTCATAGTTTAATGTCCTGACTTGAAGTTCCATGGAATTATTATAAACACCTTTGCTTCACTGGTTACATCATGTCATGCTCTGTGCGTATGTTATTTTGGGTAACCCTGTTAAGCAACCCTGTAAGGACCCCCCATTATACAAATGAGCGGCAGAAAGTGAAAGTTATCCACAGAGGATGCATTTTAGGAGCCCTCCAGGCCTGGAGCAAGTTGGAACCACTTGGGTTTTCCTAGGGTCCAGGAGCATCCCTGGCCAAGGCCAGTGAGGAGGTGGCTTGGGAAGGGAAGCAATCTGATGCTGAGAACAGGAGTTGCTGGGATCTGAAGCTCAGGCTCGGGGCCTGCTTTGGGGCATCCAGTCTCCTAGTCCTGTTGGATAAAGTCGGGATCTTGGTGGGTCCTGCAGTGTCCAGTGACCCCTCCTTGGCAGAACCCGGCTAGGCCTGGCACCCCTGGAAAAGTAGCGTATCTTTTCTTTACTTCCAGTGCTACAAATCCTCCAAGGACCACAGCCCTCAGCTGGACGTGAACTTGCTGGGCAGCAGTGTGGTTCACAAGGAGAAGCAAGTACGGAAGAAGGAGCATAAGCTCAAGATCACGCCGATGAACGCCGATGTGATCGTGCTGGGCCTGCAGAGCAAGGACCAGGCCGAGCAGTGGCTCCGGGTGAGGGGGCCGGGGGAATGGGCTGCTCCCCCCCAGGGCTTGCTCTGAGGGGCTCCTGCAGTCCCAGCTTTGTCTGAAGGGATGGAGGATGTGGTCAAGGGTAAAGGTCTATGATCCATCAGGTTCCCAGGCTCCATGAGGTCTACGTGATGCCATCAGTCTCAGGGAAATGGATCATAGTGCTCTGCCGTGAGGGCTTCTCAGGAGCCTGGACTTGGGCCCTAGTTGAATTCACTTACCTCTTAGCCTCTAGTGGGTCATCACTGGCCTCCTTATTAAACAAGAATAGACGTCACTACCATTTGTTAAGTATTTACCATGGACCATGGGCTTGTAGCAAATATGACCCACCTAAGCACGCTGGGGATAGCTGGGCAATGTTAATGTCCCCATTTTACAGGAATGACGATTAAGGCTCAGAGAGCAGAGGTGGCTAATCAGGGTCACTGGGCAAGTGAGTGGCAGCACTGGATTTCAACCTAGGACCCTCTGACCACATGCAGTGTTTTCTCTCACCACAAATGCACATGGTAGCTCTGTCCACGCTTACCCATGGTGTGATGATGACGAAGCACCTGGGCAGGGGCTTGTCTGCCCCATGTTAGGCGTGAGCTTGATGATTCCAGAATGTATAAGGTTTGCACCAAGAAGGGACCCACAGTTCCAGAAGGGTCTCTAAACCCAACAGGGTCCCAGAGCTGCCCTTCCCTGCTTCCTGCTGCCCACTCTACCCGCATGTCCCGCATATAATCCTGCATGTATTACCCACCCTCCACCCACACCCCATTCTGCCACCCTAGCTAAGCACAAACACCTCGGTGAGCCTGTCAGAAACTGACCTGGACAAGCTTGTGAAAACAGAGGCTGCCCGAGGCACTGCCCCCTCCCCCCCCAGGGCTGAGTACCTCAGATTTGCAGCAGGCAGGCTGTCTGTGGTAACCCAAACAATTCTCAATGTTTTGAGAATTCCAGGCCCTGCCTAGCCAAGCTTCTAGGAGAAGCTGATAGGTACCTCAGTCCTTACTGCACATTTTTCAGGTGGTTACAGACAGTGGCATAGAACAGGAAGGGCCACTGCACAGACAGGTCTGTGGTTTGACTTCACAAGTCTCCATGAGAATTCCTGGGAGAATGTTAGCTGTGAGAGGCCTAGCCTGGGCATTTAAGAGCAAGGGCTTTGGGTTCAAATTCTGGCTTCACCCTTTCTTAGCTGAGTGATCTTGGGTTGGCACCTTAATGCATACTAAGTGCTTAGCATTGAACCTGGTGTAGACTGAGTGCTCCATGAAACTGGGCTGGTTCAGATGAGACCTCTCAGGCCCAGAAAGAGTGAGAGGCCTGTCCTGGGCTGCAGAGCTGACTAGGACCCAGGGCTCTGAGTGGCTGGTTTGGTTTTTTTTTTGTTTTTTTTTTTGTCTATTTTTGTCTTTTTCCATGTCTGGCAACGGATCGCAACCCTCAGTGTTGCCCCCGTACCGGA